TAATGATAACAACACTACTAATGATGACGATTTAATGACTGAAACCAAACAAACTAAATGACAAACTCCTCGAATTTCCAAATTAATCGGATTTTGAGGATTTGGAAGGCGTTTGAACCCATCTCTCGTTGACCTCCTTTGACCTGTCTCTTGGTCTCTCTTCCTCTTCCTTATTTTTGTTCTCGTTCGTTTGTTTCTTTTGCTCTTATTTTCTTTCTTTCGTTCTCTGTTTGTTTGTCTCTCTCTGTCTGTCTTAATGTTTCCTCTTTCCTCTCTCTCTCTCTCTCTCTCTCTCTCTCTCTCTCTCTCTCTCTCTCTCTCTCTCTCTCTCTCTCTCTCTCTCTCTCTATATATATATATATATATATATATATATATATAAAGGTGTGTGTGTGTGTTGTATTGAAATATTGTGTCCGTCAGTCAGTCTGTCTGTCTGGTTGATTCTCTCTCTCTCTATCCACCTATTTCTCATTCTCTTTTGATCTTTCTCTTTTTCGTTCCATCGCTCTCCTCCTCCATTCTTACTTCTCTATATTTGTGTCTTATTCGTTTTTTCCTCTTCCCTAATTTCTTTTTCATAATCTCTGTCTTTCTTATTTTAATCTCTTTCTATCTTTCTTCCTCTTCCTTAATCTCTCTCTGGCTTTCTTCTTGCTTAATATTTTCCTTTCTTCCTTTCTCAATTTAATTGTCTTTCTCTATCTCTTGTATTATCTTAATAAACCTTTCAAATCTCTCTCTCTCTCTTGTTTTCTTTCCTTCTTTCTTTCTCCTCCTTATTTTTTTCTCTCTCTGTTTTCTTTTCTTTCTTAACCTCTCACTTTATGTGTATCCTTCTCCCTTATCTTTATTTTGCGTCCTTCTTCCTGTCGCAATTTCCTCTCCTTGACACCTTTCAGGCCAAAAAATATTTTCACACATTTTTCCTCAAGTTAATACTGTAGCTTAATTGAGATTAAAGATATCCCTTATCTTCAAGCTATTTTTTAGTACGGTGTTTATATCTATTTTCCTATTTTATCGTATATGCTTACATGTATAGATACATACACACACAGAGATACAAGTACAGATACAGACACAGGCACAGGAACAGCACAGGCATAGGAACAGCACAGGTTTAGAAACACACACACACACACGCACATATATATTTGTATATACATATGTATATATATATATACAATTTATTCTCTTAAAATGCGATCAGCATGAATGTCACACATATACGTCTAGGTGTATCTATGTATGTATGTGTATGTGTCTGAGCGATATATATATATATATATATATATATATATATATATATATATATATATATATATATATATATATATAAATCACATACACATACATACATAGATACACCTAGACAATGTATGCATGACATTCACACTGATCGTATTTTCAGAGAATAAAATTGCTTTCTCTACACATACGTAAATAACTAGCTATAACTAAATAAAGCAATAACCCTCACACCGATCCTTAATCTGTGTTCGGCGAGCGCATATCACTTACCATTCTCTCCTTCGAGGGCGGGAGGTAACCTTGGCTCATAGCAGTGTAAGCGACCGGCAGGGCTGGAGGCGAAATGTGCGTTCGGATTTTTCTCGTGTTCGATTTCCGACTGACTATTTTTTTTTTTTTTTTTTTTGGGGGGGGGGGGGATTTTTGTTGGGTTAGGTTATTGGGTGCTGTTTTTTTTATGTTTTTGTTTTTGGGTTTTGTTTTTTTTTTGTTTGTGGTTATGGGAATATGGTTTGGTTGGATTTGTTTCGTAGATATTTTGATATTTTTTTTTTTTTTTGGAGAGGGGGGTTGTTATAATACAAATACAAATATATATAAGTATATGTATGTATATATATGTGTATATATATATATTATACATATTTCAAATATACATATATATGTATTTGTTATTTGTGGGTTGTTGTTGTCTGTTTCTTAATTTTGTTATTACTAGATGGTTTGGAATAACATTACCTTTCCTTGTATTTTGGTCTCAGAAGCCGTATAATTACTTCCCAAAAATACATACTGACTTCGCAACATTATCTTCCGGGAATATTATCACGATTGCCAAGACCAGTACCTACATGACTCAAACAAATTCTGACACCCCCTTCCTTCCTTCCTTCCTTCCGTGTCACTTCCCTTTATCGAAACCCCTTTTCGGACAGTGCCAAATACACCCTCTTCCTCCCATTCATTCCATAACTCCAAAACGCAACCGACGCTTCCGGAAACCTGAACCCCGGAAATGGCCAATCGCGAAATACAGCTCAACACGGAGCTTTGAAGACAGTCTAGCTAACCTCAGCATACCTGCCGCACTTTCACTCTCTGGGGTATGGCGTCCTCTGGGTTTCAAGGTTAGGCACGATCCAGGTGTTCCTCTCTCTCTCTCTCTGTCTGTCTGTGTCTGTCTGTTTGTCTGTTTTGCTTTGGATTTCTCTGTTTTTGTATTTTTTTTATTGTCTGTTCGGCACTT